GATATATCAACAAAGTTGAAATGGTAAATTGGCAACCGTAACGATTACAAAAGCTGACGTTTCGAGCGTTACGGACACCCGTTCTTAAAGGCACAGAAAATCAGAAAGGTGGAATGGCGAAAAATCAGTCTAGAAAAGTAAAATTCTCAACCAAGCGAATGATTTCCAAAATGAAAAGGCACCGCACGTCGGCGCAAAGTGAGTGTGAATATTTTCACAACTCAATAATTACGTGTATCGCTTCATGCTAATAACACTTAAAAATCCAACCAGTCTTCAGACTCGCTGGAAAATTATCTTACAGAACTAATCTCTTGCTTTGTCTGGATAACTATCGCTGTTTTTGACAATTCTGAAGGCGAGGGCGACTGACAAACTACGATCGCACTTCGTAACGACGGCCAGCTAAAGTCAGCAAACAGCACAAAACTCGAAACAAAATGACTCCCCTGTACCGCTATTTGTTAAGACGTGGTTTTAGTATTAAAAACCCATTCAAAGGATCAACCATAATAAACAAGGAGAAGTATCATGGATATTTTCCGACTTAAAACCATGGCCGATGTTTTCATTGAACTCAGTCCACAAACTCATGGAAGCACTTGGCAGTCCAGTGTTGATGTCCACTGACCACTGTGACGTCACCAAAACGTATTTCCGCGGTGTCATCAGAACCGACGCTTTTTCGTCCTAAGTCGTTTCCGATTCCTTTTGAAGGTATCAAGAGTATGAAGGGTGAATAGGTTCAAAAATGTCATTTGATGGTTATCGGGTTTATCGGGCCGTGTCGTCGTGTTATCGCGTCGTACTGCAGTGTTATTGGGTGTTGTCGTCGTTTTATTGGGCCATGTCGTCATTTTATCGGGTCGTGTCGTCAATTTATTCGGTCATGTCGTCGTTTTGTGAGAGAGTCACTTAGGCTTATTTTCTACTTGAAACATGTTGTTCTGTTTATTTTATTTTCTGGAATTTTAGCGATTTGTCAGTAATGTTAGTAATATGTTAATTGTGTTAGTAATGTGCTAATTGTATTATTCTTTTAACTGCCGATTTCCCTTATGTAATTCCTGTTTAATTGCCCATTTCCCTTATTGTCATTTTATCGGGCTATGCGCCTTCAGAACGTCTCAACTGCAGTCGCACCCAAAAGATTAATACACAGGCTCTCATCTTCTCATACAGAGCCTCACATTCGTTTATCGTTCTCTACCCTTGTTTGCGTTTCGCTCGTTTCGCGCGGGTATTTGTCATGTCAAAATGGACAAGGGGAACGACCAGGGCAAGAGCTTTATAAATGACGTAACGGCCATCATGAGGTCGGCGATTGATGAACTTGATCGCCTAAGATCATCAAGTTCAAATTTTAATTCCTCTGGTTCTGTACAAAGTAAAGACAGTGATTTTCAGACAAGAGCCAAAGAAAACTTCAGGTAACATGCGTTTTATACTTTGATTATTTTATCTTCTTTTACAAAATTATCTTGTGATTTATATTGTCTTTTTGCTAAATCAACTTCTTTGGATATTTTGAAAGACGTGCCTTCCCATCTGGAAGAAGTCAGCAACGCCATCCGGTACCAGAAAAAGGGAAGGGGAAAGCATCAACGAGATACATGCCTTATTTCAAAGCTAAGAAAAGTTGGACTCATAATTTTTGTATTCTTGGTGGAGTAATTGACGATCACACCCCTACAAAGGATAATTTACTGGATCTCCAGAAAGCTGGCTTGGGGAGGAAAAAGGTAGTATTTGAAAATAACAAGTCAAATCATGAAGAATTCATTGTAGCCCTTGAAAAGGCATGCCCTAAACTCAAAGATGGAGGAGGTGTGGAGCTGCTTTATGCTGTTGGAGGTGGTGGAGGACAAAGGAAACTGGAAACTATTCCACCTGGCCCAGATGGCTATTCCATTCCTTACCTGAGATGCACAGTGTGTGTTGGTCAAGCAGTCACCTGTGTAAGACCTTTGCAACAGGACTTAGACCTCAGTCCACAATCCACTAGTCTGGTACTGTGTTCGAATGTTTTTTGTAATTAGTTTTTAAGTGAAGGAACTATTTTGTCATCAGAAGAAGAGTGCAGGGAGCGGGAAGGGTTGATGTGTTTTGTGAAAGGGACTTGCAAAGTGGGATGGAGTCAACTTGCTTTTTGCTAGTATTTTCTTAAAAACCCCATAAATCCCACCAGCACCCCCCTGGTGAAAAATGGTCCCTCACCTTCGACACATATTACAGTACTTTCATTTGTGACATAATACAGTTTAAACCATCACAGTAAATTACTTCTGTACCTACAGTAGTTTGATTATTACTCATAGTTTTAAGAATGTAAGTTGTGCTAGCATGCGAGTAACTCCAAATTATTACATAATATTATATACCACTGTGCCATCTATAGTATTGCTATTTTTACATTGGGTTTCATCTCACAAATAATTTGTAAATTTTTATTTGTTGCGATATATCTTCCATACACAGTTTGTAGGAGACAAGGATTGCCCGACTGTTGAATGCATGTCGTGTGGCCAGAAAGTGAATTATGGTCACCTTAGGGTCCATAAGGAGAAGGAGTGCAAAGAATCTACACTTAAGGTATTTGTCAAAGCTATTGTTGAAGTTAAAGTCGGGACGTGATTACATTTCTGCCCATGCAATTGAGTTCTACAAAGCACTTCAAAACAGTTTTCTTAGAAGCATGTAAAGTGACTATTAGTGAACATATGAAAAAGAAATGCAAATTATACCATGGAATATGCAAAAATATAGTGACCACAATATACTTGGGTATTGCTAGCTAGAAAGCGACACACGATTTCATAGCAGATGTTAACAAACAAAAAGTGACTACATCTTAGTAATTTGCAGGTTTATTGAATTCACTTCCAACATTGTGAGATAAAATGTTGTTGCTTTTATTGGTAGGATTGTGGTGATGAACCGTCAGATCCTTTTTTTCAAGCAGGCCCATCTCATATTGATTTACCTTCTGCAAGTGAGGTATGTGTCAATTATGAACATGCAATAATTAGCAAGTTATCATTTTGTCATGCATATTTATTTGAGGCTGCAATGTCTCAAATATTATCAATTCCCCCCTTATAAACATATATTTCATTTAATCTTGAATTGCAAGAAGATTGGTGCTGAAGGACAAACTGCATCTGTTGACACCAAAGCCAGGCCATCTTTAGATTCCACTTATGAAACTGAGGTACATGTACATGTTTATGTATGGTCCAATACTTTTATCCACCATTTGCAATAATGTGTTAGACAAAACATTTTTACATGGATATTGTTAAAGTAATAACATTTGGTTACAGCTTTTGAGTGATTGATGCAAATACTATTTTACTACTTTATTATGTGCAATTAAACAAATAAAGAAAATGCAGTGTATAGTTATGTATAGTGTATGATGGTGTGAAATAGCATTATTAGCAATGCAAGCTGATGTGTTTAATTCAATCTGTTTAAGTATACACATGTATAGTTACAGAAAACAGCGTGAAAATAACATTTTTGTTTAAATTCAAAACAGTTCTCTTGAAGAGCCTAGTACAAGTTGCAGTCGTATTGCAGTATTTTAAAAATACTATATGTACCTTCATTTTAGGAGCATGTCTTCCAAACTTTGAAGAACATGTTTCCTGACATCAATGATGTGGTTTTACAAGACGTTGCAGGAAATGTGTTGAACAGTAATGAAGATGTGAATGTTATTTTAGAGAAGCAAAACCAGATGCAAGAAGAAGCTGCACCGTATTGCAAAAAAGGTATGAGAAAGCAGTATCTGTCTTTTACTGCTTGTGATTACCTTGGTTACATTATTTAGAGTGCCTTTGAAATTAAAATGTTGTCATAAATATTTAGATTGCATTTCAACATCCTTTGATAATGAGGAAAAATGGCATAATGAAAATAATATTGCCATGGTAACATTCCTAGCCCCAGATTCCTTTCAACTACTTGAACATAAAATTCAAATTGCTGCCACTGTCATACAAAATCATTTGCTTTAAGCCACTCGCATGCAATACCTATATTGTTAGAAATTTTCATATGCCTATTTGAATTTGTATTTATAGATTCATCCCTTTAAGGGATGAAATGGTCCACCCCTAATACAGTATCATTTATATTACTTGTCCTGCTTGAATCCAAGGGGTTATTTACTGATCAGGGCTTGCTTTTCATTTCATTCAGGTGACAGACAGACCATTTGTTGCACTCCAAAGTTTCTACTCTTCTGTATAGGCTCCCCTCATGTGTCGGTAATGCGTGCGACCAAGTCAATTATGGTGGCTTTTCACAGAGATCCCAGGGCAGTTTATCCAAAGGCAAATACTTGTATTGGGCAGGTTACATTGCCAACTTGCCACACATCATATGAAAACTTCAAATACATGTTCAACAAAGCAATAGAAGTTGAAGGCCAGGGTTTTATGATAATATAACAGTCAGAGTTTTAACAATTTTTGCCCCAGGACTGAAGCACTCACTTAGACTGACAAAAAAGAAGAAAAAAGTTTAACCTTTTTGTAAAATGTTAGGTTTCACAGATTGTTTCAGTTACATCAAATGCATGCTGTGCATGCATTCTTTGGAGTATTTTTTTGGTAATGTTGAGTTTTTCACACATTGTTTCTGTTACATCAATGCATCATGTACATGCATTCTTTGTAGTTATAGCTTTTAATGATTTCTGAATGATTACTTATTTTTAACAACCCATTATTTGCTTGATTGTTTTTCATTAAAACTTCAAGGTGATCAGATACAAACCGTATGTTAGAATGTTTTACATTTAGTATTATGACAAAAGTCACATAATAAATGACAATAGACTGCAACTTGACTGGTTGCAATTTGAGGGACCTCGCTTGTCTCCTGTATGGTTTTCACTGGAAAAACCACCCAGGAATGCACAGATTCAATAGGACAGCGTCACAAGTTATATTTCAGTCGCATGCTTATCCTCAGTTTTTCTCGTTTGCTTAAGTTTTTATGGAAAGATAACATACAGCGAAATTGTCCCACGTGATCCAAAAGCCAAAAATAAAAGGGAATTTGACGAAGACATGAAGGACAATTCAGCAGCATGTTTCTTCATTGTATAAGCTTTAAAATGAAGTATAGGTTTTGGTGCTGAGCTTTTCGCACAACGCGGTCACAAAGGTTTACAGTAACTTTAACCAGGTAACTAAGAATATGTTGACAGTCCCTTACAATGCTGCATTAGTGATTTGAAAATACCTACGTCATATGTTGTCTGACAAAGTCCACAGCTCCTAAGTATATGTCAACACCCCTATTGACATTTGCACGCTTTGGGTTGATAGTTCTATGCAATTCAGCCAGTGCTTCATCACTTAATGGGCAAAGAACATCCGGTACATCTATTAAGTCATCTCGTTCAGTTGACTCTGGCAATATCCCTTCATAGTCTATCCGATAACTTTCTTGTTCTCTCTGTCGACATAAAAAGTAATGACAACTTCAAAACCTACCATACACTAAATAGGAATGGTCTGTGGGGAAGGGGTGGTAATTTGAATTTCAAAGGAAGCTTTAGAAGTTAAGTACAGTCCTGGATATTGGTGGAGCTTACTAAATTCCTTACTTATTTTCCATTGCTGTCTATCTATTTAAATTTCATATGTGAAAGCTACACTCACCTCATTCAGCCAGACCTCTTTCGCAATAGTTCCATCATCATTTGCAATGCCCAACATTCCCCTTATCCAAAGTTGGTTGGGAGTCATATTTCTAGCACTTTCAATAGGATGATTATCCCACCCAATTATGAACTGTTCCTAGCAGTTGTTAATTCTTGGAGCAACGACATAATGCAGGCAAAACATCTGAAGGTCACTGTCTATGTCAAGACAGCCCTCATTTTCCAGGAAATCAAACAAACAGTAGAATGTGTAAGCACAGCAAACATAGACATCAACCCAACGTCTTTCTATGCGCTGATTATGCACGCTTTTTCTTGTTATAAATGATCCTCTGTCTGGCCCCCTCTCTGGATGGTTGAACATATATCGGGCAGCATCAAAATTTTCACCACCGTGATCACCTCTGACTCTTGAAGGTAATCCATGGTTACCCACAGCTTCTAAAAAGGCATCAAGCACAGTCTGAGCCTTGTTATTTGTGCTGCATTTGAGAAACATGATTTTTCTAGAGTATCCATCAATGCAGCCGTGGATCACAAATTTCCATCTGTGGGAACATAAGGCAGGACTTTGTTTCACTGTGAAGTACATTTATAAATAAAATTTGGTACCTTCTGATGACTGACATGTGGACCAACATGTGGAAGGAGACAGAGCTGAGGGTGGGGATTTGACATTTTAAAGAACATTTTGATCAAATGCCCTGCCGACGGGAAAATATTTTGAAGCTGCCCAATTAGCCCAAAGGATAGTGCGCTGGACTGTTGTGCGGGAGGTCAAGAGTTCGAGCCCTGGTCGGACCAACACCCAAGGTCTTCAAATAATTGAGAAGAATTTGCTACCTTTCTATAACACCAAGAAATGGATAGATATTCTAGTCTTCTCAGATAGGGACGAGTAAATGGAGGTCCCATCTCCTGAAGGGTTGGGGGTAGGAGACGTTAATTTCCCATGCACGAGATTACTGTGTGATGCACGTCCTCCCCTGGTGTGGGATGGTTGGGTAGAGGTGAGATGGGTGGGATCTACAGGCCCCATTTAAACCAGCTTCAAGCTGAACTGGGCTGGCCTGTCTAAACATCGCAAACACCAATACAAGTCAAAATACCACACATCTGGCATTTACTGTCAAATCACTGCCCTCCGAATCTGCCCCCCACCACACACACACACGCACGCACACCAGCTTAACATTGATAGGTGGATAAACTTATGAAGTACATTTGAATAGCAATTCAAGTGTGTAAAAACAAAGCACATACCTAATCAGTTTGTGGTGGCCATCCATGTGCCATAGTGCCAGGGGTGACTTCACATTGTATACCCTTCTGGAAACTGATGTCAGTTGCAAAGCACGTAACAAACACCTTCGGGGTTAAAACTTTCGCATGGACTCTCTTAAACGGAATTGTTGTTCATGTATCCCCCTTCCACGCAAAAAACCAGTCATCCTCCTGTATCCGCAATTCGGAAATTCGGATACCAACTGCTGTATTATTTCGTCAAGTTCATTATCGCCAATAGCAGAGTAGGTTTGAGAAACTGAAAGATCATAATCTCGAAATCTTCGCTTAATTGTACTGAGGCTTACTCCCAGCATTTCAGCAATTTGGGGAACTGAAAAGTTGTATTCCAAAAACATCTCCAGCTGCTCTTTAGGAATATTAAAACTTGGTCTTCCTTTGCATCCAGAATATACTTTTTCTGGTTTGTTACCCGAATAAACGTCTTTATCGAGCTGTACAATGATGTTCTGTGCATATCGGAGCTTTTCTATAACAGAATTCACTGGAATGTCAAAATCTGGTTTGGCTTGTGTATATCGACTCAAAACTCCTAAAAACCAATCGAGACGAAATTTTACGCTATCTAACTGATCTTGTGCAACTCTGTGCCTCTCCAATTGCGAGACTAAATCGAGAAGAAACCTTTTTCCATACAACCGTAGGGCTTCCATCGACGTTTCCATCTTGTACTTTGACAGTATGTGGTCGTGAGAGCCTGTGTACTAATCTTTTGGGTGCGACCGCAGTTAAGACGTTCTGAAGGCGCATAGCCCGATAAAATGACATAACCCGATAAAAGGACATGACCGAATAAATTGACGACACGACCTGATAAAATGACGACATGACTCGATGAAACGACTGAAGCCGGAAAGCCCGATAAAACGACGACGTGACCGAATAAATTGACTACACGACCCGATAAAATGACGACATGGCCCAATAAAACGACGACAACACCCAATAACACTGCGGTACGACGCGATGACACGACGACACGGCCCGATAAACCCGACAATCATCAAATGACATTTTTGAACCTATTCACCCTTCATACAAGAGAGTATAAGAAATCTACCGGGTTTTGCTAGGGATTTTCCGACATTTGTAAAAAAGTAAGTACCTCTAAGTACGCACATTATTAAATTAGTTGATCTGTAAAGTAACATTTAGTAGATAGTGAGATTTGTTTATCTCAGGACTATAAATACATCGGAGTTGTGGACGAAGTTTTAAAAATACACTTAGTTACCTCAAGCCTAATTGATTTGGGAAGTCATGGTCAAAGCTAGGCTCGTGGCTGAAAGTTGTCAATTTCCAAAAATATTCAACACTGTTCGATTGATTTCGACAAAAGCTTGATATTACAAGTTATCTCAGATCAACAATGTTATTCACCGACATTAGATTCTGGTGATCAGCTCCAGTGAGTCCAAAATGCAAATTTATCGACAGCTACGTATTGTAACTAGAATAAAATTAAAATTCTGATCTTCGACTAATCTCGACAGCAATCTCGGACAGAAGCAAACCTCTAACATTAACTGGGAAAGCATTAGCGTTTCTAGCGTTCCGAAGCAAGAAATCCTTCATCGAAGGAAGCATAATGAATAAACACTCTTGTATCAACAAAAGAATAATCACTCGTCAAAGCAAAGTGTCGTGTTCTATTTTGATAAGGAAACAACTGTAACCTTCTTGGAGCGGGCGAACTACAAATAAGTCAGGGTTTTATTCTGCTCAAAGTTCTTTCATCACGAAACCCGCGTTTCTCTACTAAAACGGGACCGAAGCTCTGCGTGACGTCGCGCTAGTCTATAGTGACGCTTTTATTTCACCCGACATCAAGATCATTGATATAATAAACATCACGCAATCTCTTAAGCAAAGGTGGGGTTAAATATCAGCCACCGCCACAATAGTGTGACAAACCCACTAAGACGACCGCAGAGCTTGGAGATCACTAGTAACAAACCTAATAGAACGGTAACGATGCGAGCCCATGACTGACCAACGTTTTGTTCAACATGAAAACGATAAAGCTGTGTAAATGATATAAGAGGCGGGCACAGCCCGAGCAACATACAAACGATTACAGCAGTCTGGAAAACATCATTATCCGGCATAGGGTAAAGTATGGACTGGACTGGACTGGACTGGACTATTTTTTGGATGATTTTTTTGGCCATTTTTTGGACCATTTTTTGGATTATTTTTTGGACGATTTTATAAGGGGGGAGGCACACCTTTAGTACTCAGGGAGGGGTGGGTGCAGAGTGTTATTACTCAGGGAGGGGTGGTAGGTGGTTGTAATTGTAAACACTACTGGTTAATGGAGCTTTTACTCGATCGTGATAATTATTTTAATCGGTTTTTCGAATGACTTCTCCTACATCAACATTTTGTGCTGGGCCGCGGCGTTTCTTTAATGTTTTAGCCATGCGAAAGTGAAACTGCCACGTAAACACTGGACTTTAATTCTTATTGAAAATATCGCGTTTACGATCCTCCACTGTTGAGTTACCAGTCTGGCATAGGTTCATTGCGTGTGCCTTTTGAGTCGACTTGTGCTCCATCAGTTTTCCTTTGTGTGATTACCAGATTTATCTATCTTTCTTTTGTAATTGATGTTATCAGACGAGCTCGAGATCACAGAATTTCCGTTCCTGGGCCCTTGACTTTAGCCGCAAATGTAGAATTCACAAGCGCTATCGCAATGTTAACGTTTGTACGTTTACTATTATATGAAATCATTTTTGGTACAATGGTACAAAGCAATATTCTCTCGGGTGTCTTGTTAACACAGACCTCGAAAACGCAGACCGCAGACCGCACACCTCGAAAAACGTGTCTTCAGTGAGTAATTTCCAGAGTTATCTCTCTTCCTTTTGTCATTGATGTTATCAGACGAGATCTTGGAATTTCCGTTATGCGAAAGCGAAACGGCCGCGTAAACACTGGACTTTAAATTATATTTAAAATACTGCGTTTACGATCCTCCACTTTTGAATTATCCGTGTACCCTTTGAGTCGACTTGTGTGTGCACTATCAGTTGCTTCACGTTTTCCTTTGTGTATACAGTATGTTATTACTGAATTTATCTATCTTCCTTTTGTCAGTGATCTTTAAACGTTAAAATTGCGATAGCGCTTGTGAATTCTATATTTGCGGCTAAAGTCAAGGGCCAAGAAACGGAAATTCTGTGATCTCGAGCTCGTCTGATAACATCAATGACAAAAGAAAGATAGATAAATTTGGTAATTACACAAAGGAAATCAGATGGTGCACAAGTCGACTCAAAAGGCACAGCATAACCTATGCCAGACTGGTAACTCAACAGTGGAGGATCGTAAACGCGATATTTTCAATAAGAATTAAAGTCCAGTGTTTACGTGGCAGTTTCACTTTCGCATGGCTAAAACATTAAAGAAACGCCGCAGCCCAGCACAAAATGTTGATGTAGGAGAAGTCATTCGAAAAACCGATTAAAATAACCATTACGATCGAGTAAAAGCTCCATTAACCAGTAGTGTTTAGAATTACAACCACCTACCACCCCTCCCTGAGTAATAACACTCTTCCCCCACCCCTCCTTCAGTACTTTTCGACTGCACCCACCCCTCCCTGAGTACTAAAGATGTGCCTCCCCTTTATAAAATCGTCCAGAAAATCGTCCAAAAAAACGTCCAAAAAATCGTCTAAAAAATCGTCCAAAAATAGTCCAGTCCAGTCCAGTCCCTATTTTACCCTATGCCTCATTATCCAGATTAAGGAAAAAGTACAGACAACGTAACCGAATAAAATGTCTGTAGTCGTTAAGCAGTCAGTCATAACAAGGAAAGCCGAGAATGAACCGACAGCCCAATGCCTGACTCGATTCATCCCGGACGCAATCTAGTAACAAATGTCAGCTTGTCGAGAGTGAAAGGACAAATTATTCTAAAAGGAAGAGGCGGACGCGAACTAGCATACTAGGAATTGACAGCCGTTCAATTGAGAAACAACGCTAAGGCGAATGCACCGCAGGCAAGAACTGAGAGAGCGTAGCAGCCCATGTCTGAACTACGTCATGACTTATTCATCCCCAAAAACGAAATAAGTCGGCATGTAAAGTGCCCGACCTGATATAGAGCTTGAACGCGTCGGACCACCAGCGACCAAGAGCCCGGATTTGAGCGCCGGAGAGACCAGCGGCAAGACAAGCGGCCCCTGTGCGGAAACTATGACTTTTGTATCGAGAAGGATCGAGTCCACAAAAGGTTAAACAACGACGTAACTCAGAATTGAAATGGATGATAGTAATAGGGCTCCCATCAGAAGAACAGAAAAGTGGCCCGGGCTGATTGCCTCGTAACCGACAATACTCGAGGAGCGATTTGACCGGACAGAAGGGAAGGGAATCGTCGCGTACTATACTATAATATCGTAGGGCTGATTGTGAGTGTGATGTTGACCCTGCGGATGTCAGCTGAACTCGTCAGAAAGCTGACGTTGCAGTACTGAACAACGCTACTAGTACAATCACGGGTTTTGGTCGCTAGCTCTCCGACGCGGAAAAACCCGAAAAGGCTAATAAAAACATGGTGGAAAAAGTAGTGCGCTGAGAGGCTGAAGAATTGGTTTGGTGCAAGGAGCGGATCAGTTGATGGAGAACAGATCGTGTAATGGGCAGCCGAATATCGGCCGACTTCGAGCGACTAATAGCCCTCAAAAGTTTTTGAATGACGAATGTTTTAATAGGATCGTGTATACCGGCTACTTTGTGTACATAACTAATAGCGGAGAGATAAGACGTTACGGTTGCGAGTGCCAATTTCCGTGCGTTTAGATAGGAAATAAAAAGGGCCAAGGAAGCGCAAGTCCAGGGGAGCGAAGGGGAAGCTGAATTGAAATAATGGCTGTAAAAATCGTTAAAGACTGCCCACACTCTCTGATACATTTTCCGCGTAGCAGACGATAGTTAAGACTCAAGCAGAGCCCTCAAATTAGTGACGAACTCTCCGGCTGAAGGCTCTCGGGCACTTTCGTGGGAAATTCGTCCCCTCCCGGACACATTTCCTTGAACTTGTCGACCTGAAACCGGGAAATGTGATCGGCGGGAGCATTGTGAACACCTTGAATATGCCTAGCTCGGAACATTCTGTTGTGTCGCAAAGAGGTTAACACCAGGTCACGGACCAATATAATCACCAATTTGTGTTTACAAGTGGGATGATTAATGATGTCAACCAAAGCAGCGTTATCAGTGTTAAAAATGACACATCTGTTGGCCATCAAAGGTCCCCAGATGCGCAGAGCGATAACAATTGGGAAGAATTCTAAAAATGTGAGATTAAAATGCCACCATGTTTCCGGCCACGCGCCAAAAAACCAATGCTCACCAAAGATAGCGCCATAGCCCTTCGTGCCGGTGGCGTC